TTTTTTTTTTTTTGGACCCATTGCCTTTTTGTTTATGTTACATCTTACACTCACCTACCTCTCTGCATGGATATCGTGTTGTAATAAATCTTTTTGGATATTGTAACCTTTTGGTTTTGTTTTAGAGGTGGGATTCAAATTTTGCTGATCTCTTCTTTTCTGACCTCCTTCGACTTCTACTTCGACTTCTACTTCTACTTTGACCTCCACCTTTATCTTCTTGTGCCTAATTTATTTTTTTCTCTCTCTTTGAGATGCTTACTTTCTTGATTGAGTGAGTGGATTAGGGTGCTATGTACGATTATCTTGTGGACATGGGAACTCCAGGTAGATGGGATGAAATATTGATTAGGGACTTGTGGGTACGGCGGTGGTGGAGGTGGTGCAATTTTGGCTTTGTGGATGCTAGTAGGGAGGGAGAGTGGGGATGGGGGGGGATAATGTATTACTGTTTACCATTTACTGTTTTCTTGTGTTTGTGTTTGTGTTTGTTGTATGTGGGTGCGTGCGTGGGAATGGGGTGGGGTGGGTAGGCAAAGGAAAGGAAAGGGGGGTTTTTATACTGTTGTTGGGAACTTTAGGTACTCGAGTAGGTTTCGTGTGAGGGCGCAGGTCCTCGCACAGGCCACTTTTACACCAAAACTCATAGAAAATACATTAGGTTAATTCCACTTAACTACTGTTAAAAATTACTAAGATTTATAGTTATTAGTAACTCGAGTATTACGCGTAGATACATCTACTTTGTTTTTTATAGAGACCTAAATGTATAAAGTTATGAAGTAGTAAAGGTAGCGAGCGGGTACGTAATATAGGCGAAATTTACCTAGGGAAACTAACTACTATATATAACCTAATACTATAAGACCATTTTTACTCATTATTATTGGGCGCTTTATATGAAGACTCATAAGGTTCGAATTAATCCAATACTTTAGTTATAGACAGATTTATTTATAGGGGAATAAACTAACGTGGTTTATCAGCGAGTCGATCATATCAGCGAGTCGATCACTTTTCCTTGGCACTACCTCCTCAAACTTCAACACACGTTTT